TATCTATCTATCTATCATCTATCTATCTATCTATCTATCTATCATCATCTATCTATCTATCATCTATCTTAGTTATATTCTGCCATTTAGTATACAAATCCTTCCAAGGTGGTGTACAAGTAGTAACAATGAAAATAAAATCACAGTAGGCTAAATTTAGACACAAACCATTGTGAGGGGTTTCCTCTCCACACTGTAATCTCCATCTACCTAGGCCTATTTCTTCTGTGAATGAAAGCTGCCAAGCTGCCAAGCTCTTAAGAAGGTCCAGGGCTAAAAGGAAACAGCATGACTATTCATAAAGCTAAAAATTAAGCTACAAAATTTCCCAAGTGTTGTATGACAGAACCCCATAGAGAAGAAACACATGCCTAGCAAATGTCAAGCCTTGTAGCCATTTTACTGAGGAATATATGCTGAATCAGAAACTATTACTGGCAAATGGTAACTTAATGTTTCTCCACCTCTTACCACAGGAGAGTTAAAAGCAATAAACCAGTGTTTCCCAACCTTGGGCCTCCAGCTGTTTTTGGACTACAACTCCCATCATCCCTAGCTAGCAAGACCAGTGGTCAGGGATGATGGGAATTGTAGTTCAAAAACAGCTGGAGGCCCAAGGTTGGGAAACACTGCAATAAACTATACTGTATTGTAGCAATTGCATTTTAGCAAATAGGATGTGCAGCCATTTTTGTAGGTGACTCTAAAATTGGTTTTTTGTGTTTCCTATATCTATAACATGAATGAAAGACTTGCCTTGGCTAGAATATACATTTTATTTAAAACAAAAATACAAAATTCTGCCACATTCTGGCTCTCCAACTATAATAAATATTAAATCAGTATTTCAAACAACTATACTTTTATATATATTTTTATTTCTTGGAAAACTGAACATAACTATGAAGAAAACTTGGTGAAGGGATATCAGAACTAACGGAAGAGTGTAGAATGCAGTCCTGATAACTTTATAATCTTAATTAACTTTATAATCTTAAAATGTAACTAAGATTCCGATAACCAGGAATTGCAAGGTAACAGCCAGGACTGTACCAAATTGACAGAAACTATTTTTTAGCTGTTTTATAGCTGGTACCTATTTATCTACTTGCACTTTGAGGTGCTTTCGAACTGCTAGGTTGGCAGGAGCAGGGACCGAGCAACGGGAGCTCAGCCCGTCGTGGGTATTCGAACCGCCGACCTTCTGATCAGCAAGTCCTAGGCTCTGTGGTTTAACCCACAGCGCCACCTGCGTCCCTTTCTTGCTAACTCTCATAATTTTTCATTTCACTAATCTTCTGGTGGTTATGCCTCCCCCACTGCTTTTGTTGTGTTATAGCTCCTCCTGTCAGAAATAATATAGTAGCAATGGAGAAGTATTGCATAATAACTAACAAAATAAAATGATGTGCAGATGGTCCAATATAAATCCACCACTAATGCATTATTACTACATCAAGAACATGTTGCAGAATATATCTCCTCAAAAATGTCCATCTTGAGGGACATCAAATCATAGCTTGCCATTCTGTGGAACCCTATTTTTAAACTGGCCATGCTTGCTGTTTGGCTTTTTGAAAGACATTCAGGTAAATATATCTATGTATCTGATATATGAACTATGAAGATGCTTTATTTGAACACTTCAAATATTTAAAAAGTGTCCATGATTCGTGTGTGTGTGTGTGTGTGTGTGTGTGTTCAGAGATTAACAGTGCAATTCTATGCATGTGTAATCAGAAATCAGTCCCAATTCAATGAGGTTTGTTGTTGAGGAGTCATTTGGCGAAAGAAAATTAGAGGAGGGCCATTTTATGAAACAGTTTCTCCTTGTATTACTGGGTAGATTTAAAAAAATATTTGGTTGAATCACTGTTTCTTCCAACTGTAGCATAGCCTAGGAGTTTACTCTGTGGCATGTGTTACCATAGGAGGAAACAGTCACCTCACCTGTAGCCTCTGATCATATTATCACCTCTTTTCCCAGGATTTCTTAGTAGCAGAGGAGTGATAATGCCTGGCTTAACTCCTATAAAGTGGTTTTTGAACCAAGGATTCTGATAAGCAGGGCAATTAGGAAGACAGCTTGCTGGTCAGTTTGCTTGCTTCTGGACCACTGAAGTCAGAAGCTATAGGTGACCCTTTCACAAAATGCGCACGGTCAACTTATTTTCAGTTGGTTTTCTCAGCAATTCTGCTTTTGAGATTACATTTCTACAGTATGCCTGGAAACAAATTTTTCCTGTATTCATCTCTGCTTCCAGATACCAACATCACATTTTGAATACTTCAGTGACCAGTTCACTGGGGATTCTTCCAGCTCTGCATTAACCTGCAAACCCAAAAGGGTTTTATTCATAAAGCCAGAAACAAAACCTCAGCAGATATTTCAGGAGAAATAGACTCTTCTAACGTAGTGCAAAGCTCATGATGTTTCATGATGCATAATGTATTTATATTTTCTCAAATCTGTGCTATTGTGGCCAATTATCCTTATCTCTATTCCATAAAATGTGCATTGCTTATAAAGCTTATACTGCACAGGGAACAGAATGATATGCCTCCTGGAATCTATGGAGTGGGCAAGATGAGAGAGGCATTGATTTTGTTTCCAGCAACTGAGGACACAGATGAACACACTCCCTTAGTATGTTATGTTATGCTAAGCTTCTCTTTCTTCTCCTGTTCTGAGAAGCTTTGGGTGTAGCAATGGTTGGTTAGCGTTACAGAACTTCTACTAACTTTGATAAGAAGATGTTTCCTTCAGCACAACAGCACAACACCTGCTACACAGCAGGGGAAGCTAGAGGTAGGGGTGGGAAATAAATTTAATTCAGTCCACATTTAACAAACCCAAACACTGCCATACTTTGAAATTTCCCAAATTTCCTACACAGCTCCCCAGCCAAATCATGTTTATAGAATCATAGAGTTGGATGCGACTCTGAAGTTCATATTGTCCAACACTCTGCAGTGCAGGAGTATTCAGTTGTCCCATACCGGGATTGAACTATCTGTGTGTGTACACAGAATATGCGGAGTTAGATAGATTGACGGGGAAAATTAGATATTTAAGAGACCAAAGGTTCATAGAGGATTGGGGGAAATTCGTGGAATATCTGGATAATATAAATGAGGGACGACTAACGCTAGTAGGTTTCAAAAGAGCTCTGTGATATCAGTAAGAATATTGTCTAAAGAGAAATGGTGGTAAGGACTTAAACAATGTCAATAGATAGCAGGATATGCGAATATGTTTGGAAAGGCTACGGAGGATTCGCGGTGAGGCTGAAGGAAGTTCTAAAGAATGAAATCGATGGAAATATGATGTAAACTGTTTAAGTGCTTTTTGTTATACTTTAGTTTAAATGAATAAAAATTATGCATGAAAAAAAGAATTTTCATGAGGATTTTTTTAAAAAAATTACAAATTGCTGTAGAAATGTGGAGAACTGAATTTCAGATTGGAAAAAAAGGAGAAATGGAGAGAACCAAAACGGTCACACTGTAGGTTAATGCAGAATCAATGTGCAATGAGTTTTTATTTTTGTAATGAAATTAGTTTCTCAATATTATATATATTGTTATATATGTTATATATTTATTTATACTCTGCCTTTTCCTCCGTTAGGCGCTCACTGTGGCTTACAGATAATATAGGAACAGCTAAAAATATAGAAACATCTTGTTGGTTGATTTGATATGCACTTTCAAAACTTTGTGAAGCTCTCTGCTGAAGGTTTTGGGTTGGTTGTTTTTTTTTTTTTGCAGCAAGATGCTGTCTATGCAGGAAACAATGTACAGTGTGCACATCAGGAACTCTTCTTCAGAAAAGCTGAAAATCTACTGTACCTGTCAATCATTGATGGTGCACCACCGGAAGCAACTGTTGTAGAATCCCATATTTTTTTAAAATATGGTTTTGAGAACTTCTTAAAATAGCAACCTTGTAAAGCAGCAAGGAGTGGGAGCAGGCATTGCAGTTCAGAAGCCTAGCTCCAAAGCTTTCTTAAAAGCTCATTGGAAAAGGCAGATTGCTTTTATATCTTTGAGGGAGGGAAGCAGGGATGTTAGAATTATTCTTTTGAAACTGTAAAAAAGTAATTGTTTAAAAAGTGAAACTGCACCTATGTACAGTTTTCTTTTTTTAAAAGAAAGCAGCATGGTCTGAGAAGGATTGTGGAATTATTTTATAAAATACATTGGCAAGGGAGATAATGCTCTGCAAATGCCCATGTCCTTTATTTCTAAGACTCATAGTTCTTAATTCAATTCTTTGTACTATATAAATTTCTATACTTTGTACTAATCATAAATTTCTTTTCTACCCCAGGCCCTTTTGACTCCCTTTTAATCTCCAAATCTTTGTTCAGTCCCTGCACAGTCCCATCAACCCCAGCAGGTCAATATTGACCACTTTGGGAAACTCTGAACTAAGGAGAAGGCTGATAGCCAGAGCAACCTCAAGAGTAGAAGTAGATAAAGTGCCATATTGCGGGGAGGGCTTGTAGGGGTAGCCTGACTTGGAGAGGCAAGTTGCCCATATGCCCTTATGGATAAGACTTCCCTGCCAATTGCAGATTGGGGGGATCCTCTGAGAGAGATTCGTTTACAGCAACCCTGCACTGTAATCCATTATTGATATTGTAGGTCAGAGAAGGAGCTGAGGCCCATTGGGATTCCCAGTCAAAAATCCACTTTCATTCTCAGGCTGCAGCAATTTGCTTAAATTGCTCCTTTATGCACCCTCCTCAGCCAAATCCATCACAAACGGAGGTCCCGTGTTTTGTTGACTTGCATAAAAATTGGCTGCATTTTCAAATGTAAAAACGAAACCTTAAATAAATGTTGCACCTAAGGCAAGCCCCAAAGTAGATCAGGGACTCCCCCTTGCAATGCTGATTTTTGTGTTTCAGCCCTTTCAGCTACAGGCTTGGATAACTCAAACACACACATACATGTGCACACACCCAAATAATACATTGTACATTTTGTTGCAGGGGCCACACTTCTTTGATCATCTAAAAAATTGAAGGTGAGTTTTCAAAGCCCATTTCTCTTCTCTGTACCAGCAAATGAACTACTGAGGCGGAAAATTAAAAACTCAGTTTTGTCCGAAAGTCAAATTAAGAGCTTGAAAACAAGACTCAGCACTCTACGGCTGCAATATTTGGAAGACAGGGGCTCTAAACTCAAGGTTAATAATAGTGAACACAAATGGTCTATATTTTAGGTTTGCTTGGTTTTCAAAAAAAAGGGTGAAACTTCTACAGCTGCTTCAGTAGTTTTGAAGAATCTGCACCTGAAGACCTAATGGAGTTCCTTTCAAATAGAAGCATAGCCTATTGTATGAGTCATAAAATTCTAGAGAAGTCAGAATGGCTCTCTCCTTGTTGTCCTTCTGCTGGCTGGTGAAGACCTTAGTCCAAAAGGCTTTTGGGAACTGACTGCTTTTAATGAAAGGACTGGTGTCATGCTCTTTCATATTTTATCTGTAAGCCGCCTTAAGTTCCTGTCAGGGAAAAGGGTGGGGGTACAAATAAATATGCAATAACAATAACAATAATAATATATAAAGAGGAATTGGCAAAAATGCACATGAGCAGTAGTGTCGTCATGTACTGCTAGGAATGAAAGGTGGGACATATTTAAGCACCCATCCATAATCCAATTTGCATCTGAAAATACTGTTCAGGGACACACCAGAAAAGACAAAGTTTCCAAAACTGTTAAACAATGTAACAATGAAAGTATGAGTAAAAGGAACCTTAAAGAAATTGGTTGGGATCTAATACAACATTCAGTAGCTGAACAGTCATTGTGCTATTAAAACAAAACCAAAACATGGAAAAGGCCTCCAAAGTCAGTCATCAGAGCAATTTTCAAGGATTAGTTCTGTATAGACTTCTAGAAAAAAATATTACTGGACAGATGATTTGGAGCTGAACCATCTGATGGGCCAGGTGCACCTGTGCCATCCATCCTGCCTGAAGCCCTTTTGGTCATCCATCTCCTGAGTCTGAGAGGTGGGAGTTGAAGAGAGAGAAGATGTTTTCTGTGGTGGCTCCATGCTTTAGAACTTCCTCCCAGTACAGCTCTTGGATGCAGGCTGGAATATTACTTTGTTATTGATATTCTGTTTTTATTTTCTTATTGTTGTAAGGAAACTTCAACAAACTTTGTCAAGAAAAATGGCATATGGATATTTTAAAATAAATAAATGAAGGCTACATGGCTATCATCACTCTAAAAAACTTTAGGCTGCAATCCTATGTACACTTACCTGGGCGTAAATCTCATTGGACTTTTATTTATTAAAATTAACAAAATTTATATACCTCTGAGCAATTTACTTCTTAGTAAGCATGTAGTATTGCAGGGTTGGTCTCCTTTTTATGGTGTACAGTACGTCCTGTTCAGCAAGGGTCACATGGTTCTGTATGAGAAAATCTAAATTTGTATATCAGACTCAATTAAAATATCTACTCTTTCCCTTTTATTATACTACAGGTGCATTGCTAGGGGGTTGGCCCGGGAGGAAATGATGGATAAGGCCTGGGCCTCTTGCCCAGGGCTACAGATTTCCTGTCCCACATTGCCTCTTATTTTAAATTTTAATCTTTAAAACCTTGCTTATATGGCAGCTGGTAAGCAGAGGTTGGGTGGCCATCTGTCATGGATGCTTTAGTTGAGATTCCTAGACTAGATGACTCTTGGGATCCCTTCTAACTCTACAGTTCTATAATTCTATGATCCATTTTAATTTGCTCAGCAGCCTATATACACATGAGCATGTATAAACTTTGTGCAAATTTGTGACATGGGCCTGTGCTTTGAGTCTTTTAAGTGCCTTAAAAGTGCTCCTGTCTAAAGTATCTAATTTCTTATGGACAGCCTTTTATAAAGTGATTCTTTACCGAACTCTGCAGGGTTAAATAACAATAAATATGTATGTAGTGATACATATATCTTTTTTTTTTAGTGGATTTAGTTTTCTTTCCCAACTAGGCACTGCATTTGTCGCACAAGAATCCTGTGCCGACTTCCATAACATAGATTTATTTTCCATGGCTTCTTTTGTTTACAGTCATTCCTAACCCAATTAACTGAGATTCATGTTGCCTGTAGCCTAGTGACAATAGCCATCAATAGTGGGAGAGGTGCTGAGGTGTGTTATGTTCAGCACATCCCTTCAGGGGGTTCTCTGTCAAAATCTCTTCAGGCTATCACTTATCGTGTCAATACCAAATAGCATGGAAGAGTTGAACTGTGGAAGAAGTGAAGAACATGACAATTTCCATGTCCACAAGTTGAAAATGCATGTTTTGTGGCATAAGGACCACATGAAATGTGCTAAAATATGGCATTCTAAATGGTTGGTATCATGAAGAAGTTTCATTATATGACATGAGGTCATGTTACATCATCAGATAACCTCTCACTAGAAAATAGATGAATAGAATTTAGGCATATATTTCCCCTTTTTTCTGTGTGAATTAGAACAAGTCATTTAATGTGTATGATTCAAATGATCATTTGTTAACAGCAGCCTCACATAAATCACTGTTAACTTAAGGTTTGAGGAAATTTGGCTTGTCTGTTAAATTAGGGTCTGAGGTAATTTTGACCACCATACTAACCAATCAAGGAAATGAAATTGTTGCCAGAGCACTTCCATTTTGTTCCCCATACTTTTTTCATTTTGTCTGTTTTTGGCTGTCATGCTCCAAATGCTAGCAGCTAGTTGTTATCTGCTATTTTTGCAGGTTTGCAGCAATAATGTTAGATTATAAATTCTACCATGTTAATGTTCTAGTATTATTTTCATTACAGAACTATTACTTCAAAATGCAGTAAAAATCCATTAATCCTTCCAATATTGCCTCCTGCTTTAGTACTGGGAGGTAAAGATTTTAATAACAGAAATTATGAAAAAATGTTTTGCATGACTAGCTCATGTTGCTATTCTTTTGCTTTCATAATATTCTTCTTTATATGTGAACTTGAGGGGCAGAATGAGAGTCCGGCTCAAACACATACACCAGGCTCTTAACAAAAGTGTAGAAATCGTGTCAAATAGTGTCACAATGCTGGCAGCTAGTGAGTGAACAATCTGTCAGTTTTGCTTCTTTCACTTTCACATTTTTCTAATTGTAAATTCAGTTTCCCCACATTTCTATAGCAATTGAGAAAATTCTTATGAAAATTCATTCGCATTTTAGTGTGAACTCATAATAAGTTATTCATTCATTCATTCATTCCACACTTTGCCACCCAACAGGACTCAAGATGGCTTACATATAAAAATGAGAACTTAAAAAAACCCCCACACAAAAAAACAAATTTTGTATGCTGTCTTGAGTAATACACACATTTTTACAAGCCTTCCCCCCACTATAATGCATTTTTTGTAAATACAGTATTTGTGTAAGTTAAATTCCAAAGATAGTTGTATTTTGATTCACAAGAGTCAAACAAAGGAAGAGAATGACAGCAAGTGGGCTTCTGAAAGATAGAATTGCATATTTTATTGTGGATAACTGTGCTACTAACTAGTATGGTTATGTCATACTGGTTGAAGAACTGCATCATGAAATTTGGATAGGTTCAACTAAGTGCTTCGGTTCACATAGTGCGAATTTGATAAATTCAGTTTTAAAACATGTAATCATAGAATTTTAGAGTTAGAAGGTTCCCCAATAATTAAATAGTCCATCCATCCATGGCAGATGGCCATCCAACCTCTGCTTGCAAGCCTCCAAGGAAGGAGAGTCCACCACCTCTCATGGGAGTCTGTTCCACTGTCAAACAGCTCTTACTGTCAGAAAGTTCTTCCTGATGTTTAGTTGGAATCTCCTTTCTTGTAACTTGAATCCATTAGTATTCTCCAGAGCAGGAAAAAACAAGCTTGTTCCATCTTCCATGTGATAGCACTTTAGATATTTGAAGATGGCTATCATATCTTCTCTTAGCGTTGTATCTGGCTAGGTCATTTTTAGGGTACACTTCCTGAATCAATGGACATATCATTTAATTTCTGTAGATCTACTCTGAGGTTGACTCAAGCAGATAGAACCTTCACTGTAATAACATCAGGGCAGGAGGTAAGTTGTATTACAAATTTCTTAGTGGGAGAAGGAAGTTTTGCTGTCAGTCTTGCATTTCCTGTCAGGTATCATTCTGCCATTAGATGACCTGTATTGTATCCTAATTAGAATGAATCTCCTTATTTAGTCATGTGTGATAAATGAGAAGTCCATCCTCCAAAATTACACTGATTTGCATCAAATGGTGCACCTATGGGGTCATTACGGAGATACACTGTTAGAGCTGGCAGCTCATTAATCTTTTTTTGCTTTTGCCTGTACTCAGTGATTTTTGTCTGCAACCTTTAAACCCTCCAATGCATCTCACTAAAATGTAACAGGAGTTGTTTGCTTAGTCAATAAAGGCTTCAGTCTATTGCCCCAACCTTTTTCTTCATCTGACCAGATTTTGATGGCCGATTTTCAGTCAGTGAGGACAACAGTCAACAGATTCACTCTGTGGAGCAACATGATTTTATTTGGCCAGACCCCCTGTATCATTATTATTTGGAATTGGCAACCTAAATATACCCTATATATACCAGTCAGAGTTGACCTTCAGATTTCATTTTTTTTTTAAAGTTATTGTTCTTTCTGAAAGCCAGCTCAGGAAGAATCCCAGTCTTCAGTCCTTTAATCTTTCTCTACCTTCATGTACCAAGCAACACTTCCCACAACAAGCCCTGCAACTGGTCATACCAAACATTCTCTGTCAGCAGGCCAGACTTTCTAACAACATCTCATTGTCATGCCTGTAAAAGCATAATGGCTCTTATCCAGAAATGCTCCCTTTGCTGAACAAATGATGGCACTTTCGATTCGGTTTCTGATGGTTGTAAGAGAACAAAAATTGCCTGGGTTCAATCTTCTCAATCCCCGGACAAGTGATCAGATCTGGCAGCACTTTGATTATCTTCCCAGCAGGAGAAATGGAGGGAAATCCTCACATGTACTAGTGGAAAGGATGCAACTTGTCCTGTTGTTTACACAAAAGATTGCCTCAGCCCTTATATATGCAATTGATCTCTGCACTCTGTAGGTGAGAGCCTCCTGCAGATACCATCTTATCAGGATGTCTGTTCATGGCACCTACCATTTGGAATTCCTTCCATTAAATATTTGGCACCATATTTGCTGTCTTTGCAGTATATACTGAATATTTTCCTCTTTCAGCCAGTCTTTTAAGTAGAGATCTTTCCCAGTCTGCATCTGCACTGGAATTGTTTTTATTGTTTTGTCACTTGTTTGCTGCCCTAGGGCAGTATATAAATTTAATAAACAAACAAACAAATGAATAAAATGTTTTTCAGATTGTGCTATGTCCCAGATTGTTCCTTCTTGATTTGAATTGCCCTCATGCATTCAGGAAGGGAGGAAAATAAGGACAATCAATGCACAATCTCCTGTGTCTACAAATGGATCACTATTGATCAGAGAAAACTTTGAATCGGGCCCAAGGTTTCATCTGAATCGGGCCCAAGATGTTGAATTCCGTGCCTGCCCTAGTTAGAACAAAAAGGAAACTTTAAAAATTACAATCACAAAAGGTCACAGCTCTTCCAATTTAACTTTTATTGCTTTTTTCAAAATGAGTAAATGATTTAATAGAATTAATTTTGGCAGTGAAAGCATCTGAGTCACACCATTCACACTTTCCCCTCATTTGAGCTTTATGAGGAATGAGCTTTTTCATTTGTGATCTAATTATGGTGGTTCATTGTTTAATATGCTCCAGTGGCTAATTTTGACTACCTTGTCTATATTTCTAAAAGAACACAGCATAGAAGGGGAAATTGGAGATTACTGTGGTTTTTAACACTGGAACTTACACCTCTAGGAGACAGGGCATTGAGAGACATACCAATTAATCCTTCAGTGGTTTGTAAAATAGAATGTAAAATAAGACACCCAGCACAGTACTCTGAAAGCAAATTACATTCTCCAGTCAGAAAATAAATGATTTGTTTTTCCTCACATCTATGTGATTCATCCAGAATTTACATTTAGAGTCTCTCTTCTTTTTTTCTCTTACGGCAATTTAAATACTAAATCATTCATGTGTTGCATATTTCATGGTCTTGTTGATTGTCCTGGATTTTATGCTATAAGTGTGTTCACTTGACAGAAATAATAGGAATATTGTACTGGTAATTATGTTGTTGCTAATAATGTTGATTTTATGTAATTGTTTGAAACAGCCCCAAGTCTCTCTCTAATGTAGCTACAGAGTTACAAGTTCAGGATCACTCCATTCCTGTCTGCCTGTTTGATCTCGTCTCCTAACTTACTTCAGAGTTTTGAGGAGTCTTCCTGCAAAGAAAGACAAGCCCATGCCATGTCAGAGAAAAAGAAGCATGAGAGTGTTTTTTTCCTTCTTGATTTAATATAACTACCACTAATTATGAAAGCATAAGCTAGAAAATAATAGTTGTATATTTGTTTCCTCTGATGGACACAAAGCTTATCTAGATGCTTTTATGATATTTTTTCCCTTCAGGGGAAAAAAGATAAGATTGCTTGTGGCATATGCCTAATGATGCTGTAAGAAGCATCATTGTAAAATATATAATAATATAAATAGCTGTATCTTGCTGTATAGATAACTGTAATATAGGTAACTGTATCTCGAAGCTACAAACGTGAGTCTGACCAAACTGCGGGAGGCAGTGGAAGACAGAAGACAGGAGTGCCTGGCGTGCTCTGGTCCATGGGGTCACGAAGAGTCGGACATGACTAAATCAGTGTTTCCCAACTGGTGTTCCGTGGCACACTAGTGTGCCGCGAGACGTTGCCTGGTGTGCCGCGAGATGTTGCCTGGAGGGAGGCGGGCGAGTCGGGCGGCGAGAGGCGGGGCGGCGGCGGCGAGGAGAGGCCGCCCAGCGCGGGGCTCTCGCCGTCTGCCTGCCTGGCTGCCTGCGTGGCGCTGACGTCACGGGGCTGTAACGTGCCCCACATAGGCACACGCGGGGCGGCGAGCGAGCTCCCTCCCACATCCCATCGTCGCTCGCTGCGGCCGGCCTACTGGGCTGTCGCAGGCGGAAGGCCTGCGCATGCGCGAGGTTTTCGCGCCTTCGGGATTCCCTTCACGCCTTCCTCCTCCCGGGTCCTTGAGAGCGCGGGAAGCGGCAGCGCGAGACCGGCGTTGAGCCTGGTAGGTATTGCGCTTGCCAAGGCAGTCATTTGGGAAATGAAAACTTGCAAAGCAAGCAACCAGTTCAATCTGAAGTACGTGTATGCTTAATATCCTGTATCTGAAACCTGTTCTGCCCCCTCCCCCACACTTGGTGCCATTTTCATCTACACATGCAGCAGAGTAAGTTGACCCAGAATAGTACCAATTCAGATGGCAGATGGGAGAATGACAGTGCTGAATGCTTTCCCATGTAGAACAGTCCCTGCAAATAAAAACCTAGCATATTTGGAAGAGGGATGCTAGCCTAACCATTACCTTCTATGCTGTTACTATTTTTTTTTATTTTTTACATAAGTAAAAAGTGACCTTTCCCCATCTGGCATGGTGGTGTGCCTCGAGATTTTTTTCATGAAACAAGTGTGCCTTTGCCCAAAAAAGGTTGGGAAACACTGGACTAAATGACTAAACAACAACAACAATCTTGCTTAAAACATCCTTCTGTAATGTTTAGCAGCCCACTCCTTTTTCTAGAACTCTCTGCAAGCTAAACTTGTTCAGGCAAACTTGTTTACAGTAAAGTCATTTTAATAAATGCTTACCTTGCCGTGAACACTTCTCTCCATCTTCTTGGATCCTTGAAGAAACTTTCCTGAATTGATTTTTTTTTTATATTTACCATATTTGAGTGCCATTTTTCTAGGAAATTCAGTGAGATTCATATTGTTTTCCACTGAGCTCCATAGGTGAATTTAAATTTTGAACCTAGATTTCCAAAGTCCAATATTCTACCCAGAATACATATATTTAAATACATTAATAAAACAATACAATGAAATAGGCTGTGCAATTATGTTCAGATGACTTCTTCATTTTTCTTAAAAAACCCCCCACCTTAATACTTACAGTATTTTGGCAAATATGTGGTGCCTGAAGAAAAACAGTTCTCTGAATGGATTCTGCATTTTTCACGTCAGTGTAGGTTGTATTGGTGAAGTGTTCTGCTTTTAGACCATTCCAGCGATATAAGATTTCCCTAGAACTGACAGCTAGCCATTTGGATTCAGTGCTGTGGTGTTTTAAAGTTTGTGTTGTACACAGTTAGAGTATACTTATACACCTTTTTCTATTCAATGCTGGTAGGTTCTGAGTCAGATTTGTATTAAAAAAGATTCATGAATGGGAACAGTTAGGAAAACCACAAATTGCTTTCATGTCTGAGTCGAAACAACACGCTTATAACTTTAGTGATACGATTTTATTTTTTTAATGAGAAAGTGCAGAAGGTTGACTAGAATCACCTTAATTGCTTTAGTTTAATGGTATATTTACTTCAGAATTAGTTTAATTTTAATATATACGTTGGCAGAATAACTAATGGAGGGTAAGACAAAGGCCAAATCATTATGCATTATCATACCCTACAAAGTTCAGTGAACTCTGTTAATTCATAAGGGTGTGACACATGTTTACAGAGCCATGAATCTATAATCAGTAAATACCATGGGTTAGCACTATGTAAACACTGCTTCTGTGCAATGTTGTTCATAACAAAATTGTCACTCTGAATTTCATTAGCCATTTTACTTTAATCATCAATTTCATGGGCATAAATGAGAAGAGAGTTATAAATCATTTTGAATGCAGAAAGTTGCTAAAGAAATGAGGAAGTATTATCAGTAATTACCTTTGGTTGTGTACAATCAAATAATGAAAATTTCTATACTCCAAAGTGATGGTGGCTATGAGAAGGATTTTGTATTCATTTTAGGATCTATGATTCTGAAGCGTGTCCTGTTGGGTTAAACTGGACTTGCTTTCAGATAGTTGCATGCAGGATTATAACCTTAATATAACCACTCCAATCTCTGACTGCAAGATTATAGGCATGGGTGCCAGCTATGCAGGGCCCTGGGTGCCCTAGCACCCACAAATTTCTAAATGAAGGGGCTGCCCCCCTGATTTCCCTTGCGGCATGCCCCCACGATGTATCCTTATGGGTGTGTTGACATCACACATGCACACATGCCCTGGGTACCAGCTGTCGCAGGGGCAAGGTGGCACATCTGATTCCAGGGGTTCCAGGCACTTACCCAGGGTTTTATTTCCTCAGAATGAGGGACAGTGGAGACTGTGGTGTCTTTATGATATATTATTTATTTGCTCATATATACAACCTGAGTCTACAATGGAGGGGGCTCACAGCATCAACACCCTAGGGAGGTTTTACTTCTCCAATAGCTGCAGCCTTGGATTCCAGCAGAAATCAAGCATGGCTCTGTCTCTCAGCTGCCCAGCTCGCTTCTAGTTCCTAGCTCACACACTGCAACTCTGGCTTTCGTCTTTCTAACTACCAGACACTTGAGGGAGCGGGGCCCAACCATTGGCCCTCTGGCACAGAGCCACTTCCTTTGTTACCTTAATGATTCATACATAGGCCATTACCAAGAACTTGCCTGGCTATTTCAGCAATTGAATCCTTGTTGGATCCAGGAATTAGAAGGCATTCAGACATATAGCCCTCCCACCGAAACTCACAACAATGTACAATGGAAATTTTTTGCCATCACATGCTTCAGGCTAGTGTAGCATACCTTCCCATATTACTCCAATGGAAACAGAGACACTATATTTAATAATAATAATAATAATAATAATAATAATAAGAAGAAGTATACACTGCCCATCTGACTGTGTTGCTCCAGCCTCTCTGGCTGGCTTCCAACATATATAAAAACATAATAAAACATTACATTTTTAAAAACTTCCCTATACAGGTCTGCCTGCAGATGTGTTCTAAAGGTTGTATAATTACTTATCCCCTTGTCTCGGGAGTTGCATAACTGCATACCCTCCAATGAAAATAGGAAAAGTCGGACATTCTGGAATCAGATCAGAAACTGGGATGGATTCTGTCAATCCAGGACCATCCCTCGAAAATAGGGACACTTGGAGGGTGTGGGTGCAGTGATCTGCCTCCCCTCCCCTTCCACCCTGCCTGCTGTGTGTGAAAGAGCTGTAGATTTATTGGTGGTTCTGCAGTTCATCAAGCCCTGCCAGTCTGGTGATAGAGGATTTTGGATTGCTTCCTAAAGTTGCAGTCCTGTGCACCCCTGCTGAATACCTTGTGCCTTTCCAGATGTCAATGGACTATAGCTCAGAGGTGATAGCAGCCAAGGTTCAGCAACACTGGGAGGGGGGGCACAGACTGTGCACACTTCTTTGGGCGCATGCTGAGGAGATTTCACCCCTCCCATTCCAAGAATGTTCTCCGCTGATTCTCCAGAGAGGAGGGGGGCGGTTTCTGCTCACTACTTATTCCGCTCCAGCCTCACATCAAAGAGAGAGACCGAGTGTTAGAGAGAGAGAGAGTTATCTCTGTATAGATAAGGTTGCTGTTAAGAGCAGCTGCAGACACTCAGTTCAGTTCAGCTTCTCCATTTAGCTCTGTATATAGTTTGTATGATAGTTGTAGATAGAATAAAAGTAGTTATTCTACAGAGCTGTTCTCCGAGTGGTTTATGCTCTGCTGTACTCTGCTGTGCAACGACTGTCTTCGGGAGTGAATCTGGTGCTCACAACTCTGAGTTGTGAGTCCACAGCACTTTGACCTGTTCCTGTGCAGAAGGTGGTCTCTGGAAGTGCTACCCAGCTCGCCGAGCCCAGTCGGGGCTGAAGTGGACGAGTCCAGTCCGTGGCACTGGCTCAAGGGCGATGCTGACACATGCCCCATTGAGCTTAATGGCACTGCTGGATAGACATACTTAGGACTAAGTGCTGGAAAGCTGCTGTAGAAGAGACAGTGAGCCAGAACCTCTGTGGATTTTCATATGGAAGGACAGGTTTCTTCCTGAGTTTGTTTCAAAAGGGCTTTTGCTTTTCAGTAAGATAGCCCCTATGAGCTCCGGGCTTCTTACATTTCGACAATTTGCTCTCATAATTCACATCTCTTTTACAGTAGTGCTTGCTCAATTAATAGTAATTTTCTTATTTTTGAAATGAAATATATTCATAATGCCCCATATGCAAAGAGAAACGTTCCTTGGGCCGGCATGAGGGAATTTTCTTCCTTCATAAATGTTTCATCTACTTTATTAAGCCTTGTGCTTTTCGCACCTTGCCTGCATAAGAATTTTTTTATTTGAGGGATTTTTCTGCTATGAACTACAGAAAAGGAGATGCATTAGGCATAATTGCCAACTGGGTATTCACTCACAATCATTCCAAATGACTCCGTGGTCTCGCTCATGGCCACTGGCAAAGCTTTAATAGCCCCAGAGAGAGGAAGGGACCAGCTTGAGCGAGCAAAACCTTCTTCCAATGCATGTTGACAGAAAAGAGAACTTTGGAAACCAGCTGTCAAACGCATCTAGGAAATGTTGCAGACAAACCCCTTTGAAATAAAGAGGAATTACTCAAGAGCAGCTTTCGTTCAGTAAATGAAGCTTGTGCAAAAGCATGAGCTCTATTATACAGCAGGCTTAACGTTGAAATTACTTCATAAGATTCTGAAGTCTAGCAGTCTTCATTTTCATATTAGAGATGATCTATACATTCAAAGTCACTTGGTACAGGCCTTCCTTGAATGTCCCCCTTCCTGATGCAGATGCTCTACACAGTACCACACCCCTTTGCACTTAGAGCATCTATCAGGATGATGGCTAGATTAGAAACCTTTTCCCATGGAATGGGAGGGACACAGTATACATTCCAGGCATTCAAAGCACCTCCTCCAGAATCCTCTTACCTGTATTTTATCCCTCACTGAACTACAATTCCAAGCACCTTTAACAAACTACGATTCACAGGATTCTCAGGATAGGGATGCACTTTGGAAGTGCTTTAAATTTATGGTGTGTATGCACCATACATTGTCAACCTCCAGTGTTCTACTGGCCTTACTTTGCATCTAGTCCCATTCATACAATTGCTGCAGAGATGGGAACTTGAGCTGGGAATGCACTGTAAAATGGCTTTCCTATGTCCTTGCAAGTTCTTAGTATTCTCTAAGATGCTGCTAACTATAGCATCCATTGATTCTTTAGGTCTCATCTGCTCGCTTTCAAAAAGATATCCATTTCTGATGAATTGTTGAACTAGGAATCTTAGATCACCGGTGATGAGAATACTGCTGCCTAAAAGGTAAGGATGTTTTCCTCCTTCAGATTGCTATGGAGTATGGTTGCCAGCAAGCAGCTTGCAGTATCTTTGAATATGCAGCTGAAGCAGGAATTAAGAACCTTAGAAGACCCCTGCTGGAACAGATCAAAGGCCTATCTACTCCAGCACAGTGGCGTAGCGTGGGTTGTCAGCACCCGGGGCAAGGCAAGTAATTTGCGCCCCCTAACCTGTGGATTTGCGCCCCCTAACCCGTGGATTTGCGCCCCCTAACCTGTGGATTTGCCCTAACCCCAGATGTTGCGCCCGGTGTGGCCGGCCCCCCCTGCACCCCCCACTCTACGCCACTGCTCCAGCATCCTGGTAGACTAATGGCTAAACAGAGGTCCATGGAATGCCCAGAAGCAGGAAGTAATAGCCCACTCCCATGTTTGTTTCTTCAGCAACTGGTACCCAGAAGCATGCTGCCTCTTTTCATGGGGATAGCACAGAGCCATCTTGACAAGTTACTACTGATAGCCTTTATTTATCTAACTCATTTTTAAAGATGTCCAGGTTGGTAGCTATCACCACATATTGTGATAGTGAATTCCATAATTCAATCATACACTGTTACCAAGGAGGACACACTTTTATCTTAGATCTTTTATCTTAGATCCCAACATATTAGCTATATGGAATAACTCTGGGTTCTGGTATCAGAGGGGGATAAAAACCTGTTTCTAATCACTTTCTCTATACCAGACAAAATGCTATAAAGATTTGTCACCTTTTCTCTAAATTAAAAAACCTCCAGATGGCATGACCGTTCTTCATGAAGGAGTTGCTCTAGCCCCACAATCATTTTGGCTGCTCTTTTGTCGCACCTTTTCCAACCATTACAATGCACTTTTTGAGATGTGATAGCCAGAACTGTACACGGTATTCCCTGGGTGGTTGCACCATAGATTTGTAGAAAGGCACAACCATATTGGCAGTTTCCCAGTCAATCTAATTCTTAATAACTGCTGTTCACGTGAAATTCACTTCTTTTTTTCACAGCAGCCACACACTGGGTCGACATTTTCATTGAGTTATGCAGCATGATCCTATGATCCATTTTCTGGGTCTGCAAGCTCATACCCCTTCCCTGGATACGAGAAGTCATATATGAAAATGTTGAACAGCACAGGATGTAGAACAGAGCCCTGTGACACCCCACTCTAGTTTGACACAGAGCAATTAATGAACCATCTTTGGGTACAGATGGTCAATCAGCTGTTGATACACCCAACAGTAGTATTGTCCAGCCCACATCTTAGCATCATATTAAAGACAGCATTATGGGAGACTTTGTCAAATTTTATGCAACTTTAGTATATGCGTGTTTGTATACATTACTTGCCTTGAGAACTGAATTGTAAAATTTCAAAGAATGGCTGTGTTTCAGTTCAGGTGTTGTTTGGGAAAGCACATCCCCCTTTAGCTGCAAATGGAAATGTATTTCACCCCCATCCCTAGACTGGTAACGCAGCTGTTCGTTATCCTTACCAAGAAAGTTCACTTTACAGTTTATATTGTGAAAATCTTCCCCTTCCCAGCGCAGCTTTGCTTTAGCTTTTAGTCTACATTTTGCACCTTGTAACCTTTTATTTGATTCCCCCCCCCCCATGCTTTATTGCTGGGGCCTTGGCTTTTAGTTACTCTCTTCTCCTGAATGAGATTGTACTGCTGCTTTCCGTTACCGTCGTATAGGTTTTTAATTCTGTTTTATTGGAGTGCTTTTACCATCTGTGAATCACCTTGAGCGATTCACTTAGATTTTTTTCTAGTAAAAAATAAAGGAAAAAAACCTTTGTTTGGTTGGGGGTTTTTTTGGTCCTGTTTTGCAAATTTCTATGCATCTGTAACATTATGCCTTGCTTGGCACTAAATTAAAGGACATGGAAGATGGCCATATTAAGTCATATTCTAGCATTTCATATCTCTTATCTATCCTCTGCATGTCCTCACATAGTTCTGCAGAAGCTTATGTACGGACATTGAAATTCATACAATTCTGAATATTACTGTTCATGGTGATTCTGAATGTTAATGTTTACCAGCTGTTCTTAATCCCAACCTGTATCCATTCATCTCATAAATCTGGGGCATAATAGCAATTTGGTAGCTAGGCATTTGGAAGATTTGTTATGCTGTAATCGGGAGGAAAGCAGCATTGGCATTAATGCTATGCATCTATTAAAGGAACATGAGAAACAAGTCTTCAAATTATTATTATTATTATTATTATTATTATTATTATTATTATTATTATTGCCTAGAACATGGCCAGTTCAGTTAACCACTTGCCATATGATGAATCATAGAGCTGGAAAGGACCATGAGGGTCATATAGCCCAACCCCATGAAATGAAGGAATCTCAGCTAGATCATACATGACAGATGACCATCCAACCTTGGCTTAAAAAGAGGCCACCACCTCCTGAGGAAGTGGTGGTTCCACTACTGGACAGCTCTTACTGTCAGAAAGTTTAGTTGGAATCTTGTTTCTTGAATCCATTGGTTTGGGTCCTAGCCTCCGGAGCAGGAGAAAACGAACTTGACCCATCCCCCATTTTATAGCCCTTTAGATATTTTTTTAGGATTTTGATATTTTCAAAGCTGCCTAGGATAGGAGCCTAGCGAAGGCCAGTGTTTGCACAAATGTGTTTTAATCATTGCAATAGGTAGAGTATACAGCATTCTTAGCATTAATCCAACCCTAAATTTGTTATTCAGATCAGCCCAAGTGCCTCTCAGTTTGTAGTGTGCTACCTGCATCCCCGGGTAGATACCTGTCTTCTCAGCCTTTCATAAAGTGCCGTGGACATGAATGGCATCAAATAACTAAGTAGTAAGTTACACAGCAAAGCAATGGTCAAAACCAACCAATGGTCTGTAATGTGACCTCCTACTGATTGACTCCATTCCATAGCACTGTTGCATTAATTGGTGACATTGCCATTAGAATTTCCTTATGACAATGAGAAAAAGGTGCTTTAGAGTTCTCTGTCTTCTTGCAGAATCTAGGGATTCAGCTACATTAATCAAATTACAACATTATAAATGTGATATAATACTGTAACACCGGATGGCGCTCTTGTGAGCTTTACAATGGTTTTTAATGCAGCATTTTCAGAGCATTTTTATTAGCTGTGTAGATCTAGCCTAGGTATCTTTGAAGACTGTGCAGAGGTTCATCCAGGGCTTTTTTTCCAGCCGAAACTCGTCGGAACTCAGTTCCTACACCTCTCAGGTGGCTGCCATTGCCATTATAAGAAAACAGGGTGGAGTTCATGGTGAGTTCTGGCACCCCTTTTTCTAGAAAAATAGTGCAGGATTCATCCCATTACAACGGGAGCTGGATCCTATTAAGGTATCATCCAGCTTGTCATCTTGTGGGACACATTCACTTTATGGACTTGCTCTTCTCCAAAATGATAAGAAATAAGTCAAGCAAGATGTCAATTGTAAAGCAACACCCCCCCCGTACTAAGTTACTGGACCATTTCAATACAGAATAAGGAACGCACTCATTTGTCAGTCAGTACAGTTTATTGAAGTGAAACAAAGAAGTTCACAGTATGCGTAACTAAACCGCTCTTTTAGTCTGACATGGGCATCTTGTGAAGGCACATGGGGAATTCTGGGGAATTCGAATGGCAAAAGAAGACCTGAAGAATGCCTGTCTGAAATGCAGTTTGAAAGGTAGAAATTGGGAAGGTTGTGTACCACAGAAAGAAAGGATGGAAGAAATTGAACAATTGCTTGGTAGATGCTATGAAAACCAGTTTCAGAAAAGAAAAGGAAGCTCACATTTGGCTCTCTATTCTCCTCACACGCTGCAGATTTACAATGCCATGAAATATAGATAAGGGAAGAGAGTTATACTCTCTTGTTAATGGCCGTTGCTTCTCAATAGGGAAGACAGGCCTCTTTTGGAAAAAATCGATGTAGGCTTCTTAACCTTCACTTCAGGCTTTGTTGTGCTGTGTGTCACGCTTCCAGAAATGATTCCACCTTTAGTTTAGGGACAAATCTCTCCCTGCACAAACAGGAATAATCTTTAGAGGATTGCTTGGGAGGGTAGATACTAAGCACAGATCTATGATCCTCATCCATTTTTCAGATTATTAAAATTATTCAAGGGCCTGATACATGGAGCTTGTAAACCTATTCCACTTCAAAACATTTATACACCAAATCTGTCACTTTTATTGGTAAACACTAAGAGATAAAGGCGTTGACGAATAGCAGTTTGGAAAATAAACCAAAATATAGTAGTAAAATCCCTACCCTTGTTCTGAATTGCTGGAAGTTTGCTAAACTGTTTCTAAAACTTAGGCAGTGCCTAAATTAAAGTTTAGTACACTCATATTTTGACATGAAATATAACAGACAACATTTCCCAGGACAGATGATTCAGGTTCTTTTTATCTATATTATCTATTCTTTTTATTTATTTATCTATCTTAAAAATTAAGTTATGTACTGATTTTCATTTGTACGTTGATACATCTCAAAGCAGTTCACAATATATATAAAACCATCAAAATCAATAAATAACAACAGCTAAAATATGCAGACAGTAATATCATTTCAGCAGGTACAGCAGCCAGAACAAAAAGCAGGCACACACCTCAGTATCAGCTGTCAGGAATGAGCCAGCTCCCAGTGAAGGCTTGCAGCCAACGGAAGAAAGCAGCCAGGAACAGAGAAAGTTAACTTTCATGCAGGGTGAACAGCAGCTAGTGCCAACTCCCCTGCCCCTTGGAATGCCGGGTGATAAGGGAATGGCTGAGAGTGGGCTGGAACCCAGCTAAAGCTCTCCGGAAGTTCAAACAGGTGAGAACAGAGATGGAAGTAGTTTGTCAGAAAGGGAGGAGGGGGGAGCTGATCCAATCCCTCCGGCTAAGGGGAGGGCTGTTAGACCGGAAACAAAGCAATAGACATAAGACGTGAAAGTTCTCCATCTTCTGTAGAAACCGGAAGCGATCTTCAGA